GAATGATTTCTGTTGCCGAGCACCCAGTGTGGACACTTTCGATAATCACTGCTCTGGTTATACTCTGCACTTGGTTTCAACATTGTGACTGTTTCGAGGTTATGATGGTTTAGTACATGTGTCAAGCTGTTTGAATGCCAAACACATCTACTGGTGGTATAGAACGGGCAAGAATTGAAATTTAATTTTGTCCAGATTTTGGTTAAAACACTTCATTGACTTGGAATGGTTTGCTAAACATAATCAATAAATGATTCTGCATATATGAAGTGAAGGAAAAAAAACTGGATTGAATATCAAAATGTTTTACACTGAGAAATCATTAAAAATAAGAACCATTTTTAAAGTGATTATTAACTTAAGACAAAAAATGGGTATTTATGGTTCAAAAAAATATTATTTTATGTATGGTGGGATATAAATGGTATAATTTATTGAGCTTTTAGAATCAACAAAACTAAGTTTTGACATCTATCATCAGCAATTGGATCCAATAAATGAAAATCTTAAAAAGAAATGTCCACACCTGGTCAACTGGAAGGGGATTCTTTTTCACCAAGATAGTGTTTGCACACATGTCAGTTTGATGACACTACAGAAAATAAAGCAGTTTGAATTGAGAAATTTTAGACCATCCACCATACTTACTTGATCTATCACCATTACACTTTCATCTATTCCAATCATTACAAAATTATTTAAATGAAAAAAAAGTTAAAAGTTTTGATGAAGTGAAAGCTGGTGTAGTCACTTTTTGAATCAAAACCAAAAACTTTTTATGCAGAGGGAAGACATGAACTTGTAAATCATTGGGATAAGGTAATTGAAAGTGATAGAGATTACATTGATTGAATAAAAAAAATTGTATTTTTCAAAAATGGTCTTGATCTTTCTTTCAAACAACAAACTTTCCATTTAGCCTAATAGTTCTAGAAAACTCCCTTTTTGTTAATTCTACTTTTTAACTAGTTAACTGCATCTTGTTAATTCTAGATTTAACTACACTAGTATTCTCCTAAAAATTATAGCTAGTAAGAAGCATTTTGTCATTAGAAAAAAACAATAAATGATTTTTGAAGTTTTGTTCTAGAGATATGAGCTTGAAGGATGAACAGTGCTATCCCTCTGGCTTTGAAGATGCTTTTGACTATGTTGATGAAACAAAAACATACTACACATAACAATCAGCAAAGATCTTGAACACGGTAATGTTGTGTTTCATCAGTTGAAAAATTTCAGAGGTCAATAAACTGGGTGTTTGGATACTGCACAAGCTTACTGACAATAATAAAGTTGACTACATGACCATTGTGATTAATGTTATAGAATGAGGTATGAACATTTTTAAGGGGTATTGTTACTGATGAAAAATAGATAACACATGAAAATGTTGTTTGAAAAAGATAATGGATGAGAATAGTCCCAACTCTATCTCAAGGAAAGTTTACATGGACAGAAGATTTTGCTTTGCATATGAAAGGGTAATCACAGAAATATAAGTTATTTAATTAAAGCAAAACAATTACATAAGATACCTTATGTGCAGCAGCTACAATAGGTACAAGAAAAGTGACCAGCCCTTATCACATAATGTGATAAGGCCTGGTTTTTGTTACTTGACAATGTCTAATTACATACTAAAAAAATTCTGCAGTTTTTGTGATCACTTCTATATCACTCTATGTATTTTCCAGACCATGCCTGTTTCCATCTGTTTAGGTCACTCCAAAATTTATTATTGTAAATGGAAAAAATTTTCATGATGTTGCTGAAGTTGATGAATTTGCAACTGCAAAACCTTTAAAATTCTGAAGAAGGAATTGACAGATTTCCATCTGCATGGGATAGATTGTACTTACAATAAATTTTCATTTGTAATATATTCTTAATACTTTTTAAATATAAAGATATCAGTTTCCTAAATAAATTGTTTTAATCAATTCAGTATTTTTGACAAGACTGTCTTGTTTATAAAATCGTACTGCCTGATGTTCTTACCAGCATAGAGGTATGAAGGAGTACATGTCGAGAGTTGATATTTGGCCCAGAGTATTAGTTGCCCAAATCATTTGCGCATAAAAAAATCCAGACTTGTATGTTGTCAGGGGACCGAGAATTGAGTCAAAATAAAATTCAAAATGGCGACCCTCTTCTACAAACAGGCAAAACAGCCACCTCACCCCACTGAAATCAGTTAGGGGAGAGTACCACCCACAGTCATTCTAAGAAGTGAACTCTGACCTTAGGACAACATGTAGTTTATTCTATGTTAAATAAAATTTGTAACCTAATTTTGTAAATTTGGGAGTGCTTCAAATATGACGTTAAACAGTTTTATGTCGTTACAAGTAGGTTTTTTTAACATTATCTAGTATAGTAAAATCGTATGGCCAATAAAAATTTGATGTTATATTAGACTGACAATCATGTTACTGAATAATGTAAAATATTAAGTGTTTTAAGTTATCATGCTAACTTCCTGTATAACATTCACCATATTGTCAGAAAGTTGAGTGAATGTTTATTACATGAACTAGGTGTTATGTAAATAAAATGACTATCTATATTTTATAGATCCAACTTACAAAACTATTTTTGAGTTAGGCTTAGCTAATGTAGAACAAATAAATTTGGTACCATCTTAAATTTCTCATATATGTTATTGGATAAAGATGTAGAGTTAAGGAATAGTTACTGTATGGGAAGATTCCATTTGCAATCTCCAAAACTCAAAAATTCTAAGAATAGAATTGACAGATTATCAATGGCTCTACAGTGGCCACGCAGTCTTCGTTCCCTGAATGGGAGTTCAGTCACGGGTTTGTGCCTCGCTCGGACAGGCTGGCCACGTGGAGTTTCCCAGGTTTTCTCCATGTCTGTAATGCCTAAATAGGGGCCAGTTTTCCTTAAAAAGACCTCCCAGAAGGCATCTCCCAGGCAGATCGCCCAAGTGTTGCATTGCCATAACACAAAGAAGAAAGAAAAGACAGATTATCATCTAAATCAGTGTTTCTCAAACTTTTTTGTTAGGTGGCACACTTGAAATTATTAAACAAAATTCACGGCACCCCTATTATTATTATTATTTATTATTTTGCTTTTTACGGTTAGTAAAGATATGAAGGATTGGAAGACTTTGAAAAAAATAAAAGTTTTTTAAAGTAAGTAAGTTTATTTCCAAACAACACAAAAGCATTCAAAACAAAAGTTATTATTATAAAGGTATCTGGTGATAAAACATGAACTTAATGTGAAGTATGCACCTGATGGTGTTTGCATATTTCCTTGATATTAGGTCGTGTTTTTGAAAGACATACCCTCATCTCATTTTCAAGGGCCTCTAGTCTTTCTTTCTTCTTTGTTTTAGTATTTACAAGTGTGAAAAATTGCCTATTATAGCCTACTTTAACATTTTTACGTAGCTGTTTAAATTATTTCCATCGTTTAAGTATAGTTTGTCAAAAATTATTATTAAATATATATTATTATTATAGTTCGTTTTGTTTCTAGTATTTACGTGTCGCCAATTACCGAGTCACTGAGACAAGTAGCAACGTAGCAAGATNTTGTTTCTAGTATTTACGTGTCGCCAATTACCGAGTCACTAAGACAAGTAGCAACGTAACAAGATTAGTAGAAAAAAACCAATATTTATCTTTTTATAATTGTTTTAATTATTTATTTAATTTATTACTTTAATTCAATTATTTTAAGTAATTTAAATTTAATTATTTAAACATTTCGCGGCACCCTTGTGGCGTTCTTGCGGCACCCGCTTTGAGAACCACTGATCTAAATGGACAAGTTGTACCTAATAATCAAGAACATATTACAAATCAATTTTATTGTAAAAATAAATTGTGAACAATTTATGAATTTGATGGAAAGTATGGTAAGTGTGTTTGATGATGGTACCATCGAAAATCAATTAGATTTTACAGCAAACATACTTATTGAAATGCTACATATTCAAAGTTAAATTACATTTGTTTGCTAGCTTAAAAATGTTAGTAAAAAGTGTTGTTTATTCAATAATGTGTAATTTATTATTTTAATTTAATAAGAATTAAAAATTCATTTATATTTTCATAAAATTTATTTTAAATGGGAATATCAGCTTTGTCCAATATGAGGAGATTTAGTCTTATAATTTTAAGCCATAAAATAAGTACAGGATTAAAATGAATTCAGCTTTATTGTTATAACAATAGAAAAAAAAATTATACAGGATGTTTCGCAATACGTCATCAGAAAGGAAATGATTCCTTAAAGAAAAATAACATAAATATATTTGGATTTTTGTGATGATTCCTAGAAAAATGTTAGTTTATTATTTTTGAAAACTGGTTTCTTGATAGGTCATTTACTGTTAACAGAAAAAATGGTTTGTACTTTATAATAATGATTTCTAAGATTTTTCTTGTCAAATAAATCACATAGGCTAATAGTTACATAAAACTAAAATTATTACATATTTGCTTTAATCATTAACATTTCTAAAGTTATGTTTAATATATAATTTCGTCATTGATCCCTCATTTGATTTTCTTGGGTGGTCTAATCATTTTGTCATATTGTCTATGATTCATAAGAATTCTATATAGCTGTGGAGATTATATTTCAAATTTTTATCTATATAAAGTCTTAGGTCTTAGTAACAAATTTCAGTTATTTTGATACAGCAATATCAAAACAGCTGAAATGTGCCAGGTTTTTAAATTAAGGATCTTGTAAATATACTAATTTGTATTAAAAACAGTATTTTTTTTTTTAATACTTTTCTTTTATTCTTTCAATTACAAAAACTTTACTATTAACCATAGATTATGGATATGGATTTTGGAAATGATAAAAAAAAATTCTTGGAATCAGTTTTTAATAAACTAAAATCAGTGTTATTTTTCTTTATAAAACAATTCTTCCTAGCTGTACTGTGTTGCAAGGCATCTTGAATAATACTGAAAATAATTATTATGTTTATTAACTTAAACTAATTTCAGATCGCCAGTCTGGAGTGTCATTATGGGTGCCTTTTCAAAATGCTGCTGGAAATGTTACAGCATTGTATAAAGGTAAAGTTTTTTGATTTTCTTACTTACAAAATCTAGAAAAGTTAACTTTGCTAATCATTACTTATATTTTAAAAATAGTTTGTTAAATAAATAATAATCTTATTGTTAAAATTTTATTTAACTATATTAAAGAATGTTTATCTACTGTAAATAGTAATATAATGTTACAAACAAGTTAAAAAAATTAAATCTTTAGCTAAATAAAATTAATATATCTAAATATAGTCTAGATTGAAATTTAGCAAACCTTTACTTTTAAATATAAAAATGATTATTATTCTGTGAATCAAAGTCATTTAACTATTTATACATATTAAATCAACTAATGATATTATACATAATGCAAGCTGTAACTTCAAAAAAAAAAATTATAGAAGAAATAAGAAAATTGAGTTTTACTTAATAAAAATGCCAGTTTGCTAAACTTCAAAATTTTGCTTATCGCATTTTGTAAAGACTACTGTCTTCTAATAATTTGTCCCTTTTTGTTCTGAATATGAAATGTAAACTTTCAAGTTCTTGCTGTTGCAACAAACTAAATTCTTACTTAACCGATTTTGTCAGTCTTTCAATTTGGGAATGCGCCATTTGGTGAAATAATGTATTCGTGATGAAATTGATGTATTGTGATGAAAAATGAAAAGATGTCATTCATCGTATATGCATATGCATTGAGTGAATTTTTGTTAATGCCATATTCAAGCATCGTTTTTTTAATAATATGAGTTTCATTTCACTTACATGCAAGAAAAACAATACTTTTACTTAATTAAAGTTTGTTTTGTGAAAATAAACTAATTAAGAATGTTAATATTGTCTATTGACAATATTTTTTACTTGAAACAATACTAAAAGTACTTTCAACAAATACATATTGTTGTCTTCAGGTATAGAATAATGAAACCTTACAATTTAAAACATACATTAGTGTTCCAAATGGCAAATTTAAAACATATTCCATAGGATATGTCAATACATTGAAAAAACAATAATAATAATAATGACATACAAATGGAGTTTGGCTTAGACAAATGCAAAAAACTTCACATAGAANTTTACTTTTAAATATAAAAATGATTATTATTCTGTGAATCAAAGTCATTTAACTATTTATACATATTAAATCAACTAATGATATTATACATAATGCAAGCTGTAACTTCAAAAAAAAAAATTATAGAAGAAATAAGAAAATTGAGTTTTACTTAATAAAAATGCCAGTTTGCTAAACTTCAAAATTTTGCTTATCGCATTTTGTAAAGACTACTGTCTTCTAATAATTTGTCCCTTTTTGTTCTGAATATGAAATGTAAACTTTCAAGTTCTTGCTGTTGCAACAAACTAAATTCTTACTTAACCGATTTTGTCAGTCTTTCAATTTGGGAATGCGCCATTTGGTGAAATAATGTATTCGTGATGAAATTGATGTATTGTGATGAAAAATGAAAAGATGTCATTCATCGTATATGCATATGCATTGAGTGAATTTTTGTTAATGCCATATTCAAGCATCGTTTTTTTAATAATATGAGTTTCATTTCACTTACATGCAAGAAAAACAATACTTTTACTTAATTAAAGTTTGTTTTGTGAAAATAAACTAATTAAGAATGTTAATATTGTCTATTGACAATATTTTTTACTTGAAACAATACTACAAGTACTTTCAACAAATACATATTGTTGTCTTCAGGTATAGAATAATGAAACCTTACAATTTAAAACATACATTAGTGTTCCAAATGGCAAATTTAAAACATATTCCATAGGATATGTCAATACATTGAAAAAACAATAATAATAATAATGACATACAAATGGAGTTTGGCTTAGACAAATGCAAAAAACTTCACATAGAAAAAGGAATCCTGAAGAAAGAAGATTTTGCAATTGGAAATGGAGACGTTATTGAATCCATGGAAGAGGGCGAGTTCTACAAGTATTTAGGATTCCAACAGGCCAAACTAACAGAACATACACAAATGAAGCAAAGATTAATTAAAGAATACCAAAGTAGGTTAAACGCTATTCTCAGAACACAGTTAAATGCAAAACACACAGTTAAAGCAATAAACACGTATGTCATTCCAGTACTCACATACTCTTTTGGAGTTATATAAGTTATATACATTGGACTCACACAGATCTCGAGCAACTCCAAAGGAAAACAAGAACAACACTTACTAAGCATAAACAACATCATCCTAAATCCGCCACAGAAAGATTAACCCTTCCACGTAAAGAAGGCGGACGTGGCCTGATTGACATAGTTAACCTTCACTACAAACAAATACAGTCACTGCGAGAGTTTTTCTACAAGAAACAAGAAACATCACAGTTACATAAAGCAGTAACTCTAGCAGACTCAAATAACACACCATTAAACTTACACTCACAACATACAGACATGACACAACATATAAAAAGCATAGACAACATTAAGCAATCATGGGCTCAAAAGGCTCTCCATGGCAGGCATCCTTACGACCTGGCCCAGGATTTTGTTGACAAAACTGCGTCAAACAGCTGGTTAGATCGGGGATGCCTCTTTGGGGAGACGGAAGGATTCATGATTGCCATACAGGATCAGGTCATAAATACTAAAAACTACAGAAAACACATACTCAAAGATACAACACTCACAAATGACACATGCAGAAAATGTCACATCATGCCAGAAACTATACAACACATCACTTCTGGTTGCAAGCTCTTGGCACAGACAGATTACTTACATAGACACAATCAAGTAGCAAATATAATACACCAAGAGCTTGCAAAGAAACACAAATTATTATACATCCACGAACCATACTACAAATACATTCCACAGACAGTATTGGAAAACAACTCGCACAAAATGTACTACGACAGAGCCATAATCACAGATAAAACAATTTATCACAACAGACCAGACATCACACTCATTGACAAACACAATAAAATCGCATACATTATAGACATAGCCATTCCAAACACTCACAATATACAAAACACATGCACTGAAAAAATTAGCAAGTATACAGAACTCGCCCAGGAAATAAGGCATCTGTGGAGGATGGATAAGGTGTTTATTGTACCTGTCGTTCTCTCCTGTACAAGTGTCATACCACACACTACACAAAAGCCTGGGAACATTACAATTGAGTAGAAATACGTACATCACACTACAGAAGGCCACTATATTGAATACATGCTACATTGTTAGGAAATTCCTGAATACAGAAACACACACTGACACACTTATTTAATTTTAGTTTTGTTTTTGGTTGCTATGCCTTGACTCTGGTCCGGCATAGTACACAGCCACTGGTGTGAACCGAGTATAACTCACAGAACCCAACATAATAATAATAAGATAGAAATAAAAAAGGTTGGGGGTGTGAAAAACATATAATGTAAAATTAATTTGAATGAAAAATTATCATGCTAACTTCCTGTATAACATTCACCATATTGTCAGAAAGTTGAGTGAATGTTTATTACATGAACTAAATGTTATGTAAATAGACTCCCACATGAAAATGACCATGCAATATGAGCACTGTTGAAGCATGTGGCACATGTTATACATGAGATTAGTGCGATAATTTTTCATTTGAATTCTAAATTATACATTTTTCACACTCTCGACTGTTTTTACTTTTATTATTATTATTTTTTCATTGTATTTGACACATTCTATGGAATATAATTTTGTAAGGTTTCATTATTCTATACCTGAAGAAGACAATATGTAGTTTGTTGAAAGTACTTGTAGTATTATTTCAAGTAAAAAATAATAACACTGATAGACAATGTTGACATTTTTCTTAGTCTTTGGCATCACAAGAAGAAATTGCTTTGAGAATTCTCCATCTGCTGCTCTGCTATGACTGTTGCAACTTTCTCCATTTTCAAGGTTATTCCAATTTGTGGCCCCTTTCTGGTTTCACATAAATATTCCTGCTTTCTCAAAACAGAATAATTTTCTTAATTAGCAATAGACAGAATCTTTTTTGCAAGAACTTTAAATTTAAAACTTTCTTGAGTACAGCACTAGTATTGCTGCTGCTTTGATAGTAAGATTTAATGAGTAATGTGCAATCTGATAATGTAAGCACCATGACTCACTAATTTACATTGGTGTGTTAAGTTCAATGTAAGTACCACAATGTACTGTATCATCTATGTAACATGTTTTAGTATATTGTATGTTTACTTTCTGTTTGTGTTTTTATTGTTTTATTCTTCAAAAATACATCTTACATCAAAGTACATTTATTATTTGAATTCTGTTACAATTGAAATTTTTCTATTATCTGTTCTAATTTGGAAATGGTTGTCTGAGGAAGATGACAAAATCATCTAAAACACTAGCATTTTATTTTCCTAATAAAAAACCATTTAACACCAAAAGACAGTTTTTGTAAATTTATTCATTAATGGAAAAATAGTAATTTAATCTTTCATTTAAAATATTTTTTAACATTGAGAAAGAGAAAATTCTTGTATAATTTAATTAATAATTAAAATGAATAGCTGTATTTATTTTTAATTAATTGTATATTTAGTTATTCTGTGTAGTTTATTCTTTGCATAATTTGTTTATAAGATTTTAGGTTTTAAATATTAATCATACTGAATGACTGGCATGATGGTTAAATTGCAACCAGGGCTGTGGAGTCACGTAAAAATCTACCGACTCCGACTTTTCCTTACCCTCCGACTCCAGCTAAAACACCAAAACTCTACGACTCCGACTCCACAGCCCTGATTGCAACTAAAAAATAAAATTAATCAGATCTAACAAAACTAGTTGTTAAATGTTAAAGAAAACATTCTTCAGAGTTCAATAAAATAATAACATTGTAATTTGACTGACTTAAAATCAGAAAGAGTTTTTGTTTATGAGACAACACAACAATTTATTGACATTAGTGGTGGTAGTAGTAGTTAGTTAGTTAGTCAGCATAGACTGCACTGGCCATCTACTTACCTGAAAAATAACACCCTCTCACACAAAGCGGAAGTTAATTGGTTGAGAAAAATTACAGCGAGTTTCTAAAATTTAATATGTTTATTTTTTCATTTTTGAATCAAATTACAATAAAATAAACTTGAAAGAAGACAAAATGCAGAAATTAAACATGTAGTCATAGTTTTTGATATATTGATGACTGTTTCACATTTTTAGAATAATAACTTGTTTGTTATTTCAATGTGCCCTCTAGAGAGGTATGTATAACCTCACTGAAACTGGCATGCTGGCATTGCAGGGATAAACTGGCATATCTGATTTCATGGTCTCTCTGGATAGACCAAAATGCTGGGACGTCCTGTGAAAATATGCATTTTAAAATAGGCCTATTTCTCTCATTTACAAGTGATGTCTCAAATGTTTGCAAGCCAGATTTCACCCAGGGACTGTAGCTTGGGCACCACTGCTTTAAAGATGTTAATTTATAACACTTTTCATAAAATATTTCTGATTTTATGTTACTGCTATAAAAATATTTATGTAAATATTAAATCAAAATATATACATTTTTGCAGTTGTATATTTTTATGCAATATTTAATTACTTCATATCAGAATTATGTTAGATTGTCATAAGTTAAACTTGTTTGGAATGAGATGCTATAATAATACAATTACAGAAATTGACCCAGATCTGTACAGATTTCTAGTTTGATTATTTAAACATATAAGCATTACCATCAACTGAAATTATTCATTTAAAACTTCCAATGTAAAAATTAAAAATTTTAACTAATTTTTCAATGTTTGAATATTTAATTTAAAAAATCTTGATGGTCATTTTTGACCGATTACCATCTTTTCCTTCTGTTATATATAACAGCTGGGAAAGTAAAAATTGATTGATGTTTTCAATGTTAAAAAAATCATAGAAATATGAAATTTATTTGTGAAGATTGGCTAAATTATAGTTTATTATATATTGTATAATTATAAACACACTTTAAATAATCTTTAAAGTCTAGTAACAAGAAAGTTTTTATTAAAAATTTTTTGTTACTTGACTTCAAAAGGTTGTTTAAAGTGTGTTTGTGACTCATTCCAGTATTAAGAAGGTAATTTTAATGTACAATTGTAATACAGTAGAGCGTCGATTATCCGCATCAATTGGGGACTGGGGTTGTTCATATAACTGATATTTCGGATAACTGATTACGTACAAAAAAATAGTTTAACATATCTGATTTTGAAATTTTTCTCCGTTGCGTGTCTCTTCGCGTTGAATTTTCGTTGATGTTAAGCCTAACAAAGACTATTGTATCATTAAAAATTATTTTTTTATTTTGTACAAACAAAATAAATATATTTAAAAATATAAAAACCATAAAAAAAATTATACTTCATATGATAATTTAGTATCAAAAACGTAAAATATTTGAGTAGCCCAAGACATAGCCAAAGATTGAAGCGCCACAGCACTGGTGAAAATTTAAATTTGCCGACTGGAATTCTTTCGGATAATTGACGTTTCGGATGATTGACTTTCGGATAATTGACGCTCTACTGTATTAATATGAAAAATGTTAAATAACTTTTTTTTAATAGTTTATTAATTTTTTCATTTGAAATTAAACAATATTATATTTTATTGATTTGTAAAATTAATAGTGATTTTCTTATTATAATAGATATAATTATTTTAAATTTTATTCTATTTAGAATGTGGAGATGCTCAAAAGAATTTAACAGAAATTGGTTTTCGTTGTGGATATCAACGGAGAAATAAAGAACTTTTAGCATGGTTGAAGAAACGTAAAAAACACTTGAAAAGAGAAGATTTAATTGNGGCGTGCCCACGCTGGCTAAAAACTACACGTATAATGATTTAGAATGTGGAGATGCTCAAAAGAATTTAACAGAAATTGGTTTTCGTTGTGGATATCAACGGAGAAATAAAGAACTTTTAGCATGGTTGAAGAAACGTAAAAAACACTTGAAAAGAGAAGATTTAATTGGATTTCTTACTGGAAAAGTCCCACCCCATCGATCTAAACCAATAAGAAATTCTTACCCGTATTATTCTCACATTGCCTTACCAAATCAAGAAACAGAACCTAATAGCATTGATGAAACTAATCAAGAATTTATAGAAGCATTACCAAGTAATTTTACACTTAAAATTAAAATTTTTATATTTATTCAAATTTATCGATTTTAAATTAATAATATATATTTTTAAATATTATGTAGGTGGTGTTAAAATTTGTTTAAATATTATCATAAATTATTCACAGATGAAAACAATATAAAAATAGAAGTTATGGCTTTAATGTTTATTGTTGAACTCTGGAATATAGTCTTGGATATTCTACACCTATAATTTTTACAAATGATTTTGTATAAAGAAAAAACTTTTCAAATTTAAAATTAAAATTTTTGAATTTAGTATATAATTTTGTTGTATTTTAAAAGATTCACACAGTTTATAATATTTTTGATTTAGAAACACAAGAATTTATATACATTTATTTTAATTTAAAAAGTTTTGAAAAAATGGTTTGTTTTTATTAACTCTAAAAATATAATTTATTCAACAAAAAATATTTTTTAGAATTCAAATAAATTTTACTTTTTAAACAATTAATAAAACATTTACTTTTTAAACAGTTAATAAAAATAAATTAATTAAAAACAAATGACAAGTTGTCATCTGTTTTTAATTAATTTATTTTTATTTGTTGTCATTTGTTTTTAATTAATTAATTTTTTATTTTTCAGATTTTAACTGTAATATTTCGAGCATCAAACAACAAACTCCTGGACATCGTAACCGTAATTTAGTTAGTGAATTAAATAATTATGCAAGTATTGCAGATGATTATGCTCAAAATGTAGAATCGCGTAAGAGATTGACTTCTAGCGACGTTATCATGGACTCTCCGACACACAAAAGAAGCCGCTATACATAGAATCTGTTTCTTAAATAACCATAAAAATATATATATTTTGTCAACTGGCTTGGTATATCTCTTTGTTAAAGGATTGTTTCTGTGACTATACCATGGTAGATATCAAGTGTTTTTTCTGGAATGTTTAAAAATCATTAAAATATTAATTTATGGAAATTGGAAAAGCAGACTATATACATTATGTAAATTTCTATGTAAATCTTTGCATATTAAAGGGCTTTGATGGTAATTGAAATAATAATTTTTAATAACAATTACTTTATATATATTCTATTTACACTTTATCTATATATTTTGCTGTGCATATTTAAAAAAGATTTTTAAAATTATTTGTTGCACAATATATTATAAATTATTTTGTATTTTATAAGTGTTGTTTGTTTTAGAGATAGTTTGTTTAAATAGTTTTTGTGTACACAAGGAGAATAGACTTTGTTGTTTAGTTAATGAATATAAACATTTATAATGAAACTGACACGGGGCTTATTTAAAAAAGTGAACTTAAAAAAAAAAGAAAGGGAAAAAAGACATTTTTCTGTTGTATTTGTAAGATGTTTGTATTATACAGTAAGTTGTTAATTAATTGAAACTGATTAGAAAGTGTAAGTGTACTTTATAATATGTGAATATATACAAATTCATAAACATTTGTGAAGTAATAAATTAGTAGCTATCAGAAAGAGCTCTTTACATAGAAATAAACTATATAGACAATAATTTTAATTTTGAAAATTATTTATTATATCAAATTAACTCATTATCAGAAAATTAAACTTTGTTTTAAATGCTACTTTGTACATTAATAATGAATAAACAATGAATCAAAACTGATTTTTAAGTTTAAACACAATTTTGTTTTGAATTTTTAATTCATTTAAGTAATCGAGAATAAGACAGAATGTTGTATAAAAACAAGTTTGAAATTTCATAAAAGTACAATTTGATTCTTATCAATACAAATGACACTTGCATAGTTGCTAAGTTTAATTCATCTAATTTATATACAGTGATGATTAATATCCTGCATTTAATTAATATAATCAGGGATGCACAACCTTTTGTGAAGAAGGGCCAAATTAGGATTAAGTTTACTGACTGGGGGCCCAGACCCCCAAGCGATTAATGCGATGGCTGAGATTGTATGCTGGCGGCAATCTTCTTGATGTCTGGTATAATGGCAATGTTGAAACAACCAGCAGATTTTCAAAATTCTCTTTGGTTAACCTGTTCCGTGCTTTGCACTTGTTTAAATTCATAAGCGAAAACGCTTGTTCGCATACATAGGTACTGCCAAACATGCTTGCACAAAATCGAGCATTGTCTTTCAGTTTTGGANAGTTGTCATCTGTTTTTAATTAATTTATTTTTATTTGTTGTCATTTGTTTTTAATTAATTAATTTTTTATTTTTCAGATTTTAACTGTAATATTTCGAGCATCAAACAACAAACTCCTGGACATCGTAACCGTAATTTAGTTAGTGAATTAAATAATTATGCAAGTATTGCAGATGATTATGCTCAAAATGTAGAATCGCGTAAGAGATTGACTTCTAGCGACGTTATCATGGACTCTCCGACACACAAAAGAAGCCGCTATACATAGAATCTGTTTCTTAAATAACCATAAAAATATATATATTTTGTCAACTGGCTTGGTATATCTCTTTGTTAAAGGATTGTTTCTGTGACTATACCATGGTAGATATCAAGTGTTTTTTCTGGAATGTTTAAAAATCATTAAAATATTAATTTATGGAAATTGGAAAAGCAGACTATATACATTATGTAAATTTCTATGTAAATCTTTGCATATTAAAGGGCTTTGATGGTAATTGAAATAATAATTTTTAATAACAATTACTTTATATATATTCTATTTACACTTTATCTATATATTTTGCTGTGCATATTTAAAAAAGATTTTTAAAATTATTTGTTGCACAATATATTATAAATTATTTTGTATTTTATAAGTGTTGTTTGTTTTAGAGATAGTTTGTTTAAATAGTTTTTGTGTACACAAGGAGAATAGACTTTGTTGTTTAGTTAATGAATATAAACATTTATAATGAAACTGACACGGGGCTTATTTAAAAAAGTGAACTTAAAAAAAAAAGAAAGGGAAAAAAGACATTTTTCTGTTGTATTTGTAAGATGTTTGTATTATACAGTAAGTTGTTAATTAATTGAAACTGATTAGAAAGTGTAAGTGTACTTTATAATATGTGAATATATACAAATTCATAAACATTTGTGAAGTAATAAATTAGTAGCTATCAGAAAGAGCTCTTTACATAGAAATAAACTATATAGACAATAATTTTAATTTTGAAAATTATTTATTATATCAAATTAACTCATTATCAGAAAATTAAACTTTGTTTTAAATGCTACTTTGTACATTAATAATGAATAAACAATGAATCAAAACTGATTTTTAAGTTTAAACACAATTTTGTTTTGAATTTTTAATTCATTTAAGTAATCGAGAATAAGACAGAATGTTGTATAAAAACAAGTTTGAAATTTCATAAAAGGACAATTTGATTCTTATCAATACAAATGACACTTGCATAGTTGCTAAGTTTAATTCATCTAATTTATATACAGTGATGATTAATATCCTGCATTTAATTAATATAATCAGGGATGCACAACCTTTTGTGAAGAAGGGCCAAATTAGGATTAAGTTTACTGACTGGGGGCCCAGACCCCCAAGCGATTAATGCGATGGCTGAGATTGTATGCTGGCGGCAATCTTCTTGATGTCTGGTATAATGGCAATGTTGAAACAACCAGCAGATTTNATATATAGTGTATTTCTTCATTTCAAATTTTTGAAGTCTTCTCCAAAAATATTAAAATTGCTTAATATAAGTAATTATTTAAATAATTTGGTTATTGAAAATGATTGTTATACATAAACACACAAATTGTAAAGTTCGTTCAAATCAATTCCAAATCTTATAATTGCGATGGGATGATGATGATAAGCGCAGAGCCAAAACAGTTAGGAGTTGAAATTTGGTACACTGTTAGGGTGTCGTGAGAATGCACACTAAAGGGATTTTTCAAAATTCTTCCCCTGTGGGGGAAAGAGAAGGGATAAATATACATTATACATTTATAAACAAGTCTCATTTATAATAGGGTTGGCCTACAACACCACTTCACACCTATAGTTATAAGAGGGGGGTTTTAACTCCGCCCTATGGGCACTAAGAGGGCCTCTTTTTAGCAAGCCCATTGAGTTCGGGGAGGCCGGGTGGTGAAGAACGGGGCCCGACATATCCGGACGAATCGCCCCCAAAAAATTCTAGGGGATTTTTCGATCCCGGGTCCCCACAGCATATCCACAACATAGGACGAAGGTGCATTTCGGTACGATCGTGAAATGGAGGTAAGGTAGGCATTATGGGAATGCTCGACGTCACTTTTTTTATTATATGTCGTAAATATTAGAATCGAATTTCCTCGTTTCAAATTGTCTTGAAAACACGTCAATATTCCGTCAGTAAATTTAGTTTGATATGGTAATGCAACACACAAGTGATCTGCCAATAGAATCTTTCTATGAGATACTGGCCCCTATATACGTAGAAAACATTACATTGGTCGGCCAATTAGTGAAGTACTTCATTAAATAAGGCAATGATAATACAATATATTTTATAAAGAAGGGCTGACGAATTTACACTTTAATAAAAAATACGTCAGAGATTAAAATGTCACTTTTGCCAGGAACAACAATCTATCTACAGAGTATATAAATAAAAATGTAAATTTTCATTTGTTCAAAATCTTAAATCACCGAAAGTTCTTCACCGATTGCTTTGAAATTTTGACACAACGTTGCATTCGAATACACGCGTGTTTTTATATCGAAATTCCCCGAGAGGGGAGAGGGAGGAAATTAAGGCTTAACCTGAAGAACTACTGTACTACTAATGTAATATTTTAAATGCGATTTTTTGTTTCCGGTGGTAATAACTTAATTTCCAAACGTACAAAATTTACGTTTTACGATTTTATAACCAAATGTTCGAATTTGTTATTGCATATTGATTCGATTATAGAACAATTGTAAACGTTCCAGAAATTTGATCAGATTGAAAACTTTCCTTTGAAGCAGTAAAATGATTCTCAGCAATAAAGGGTATGTGTTATATAACGTTGTTATAAATTAAATAATTACTATGGTTGTTGAAATACTGAATATAAATGGTGTTATGACGCCTCACACCACCGTTCCAATTATACGCGACGGTGTTTCTTTAGAGCAATATCCTTTGTTTTATATGACACTCAAGTGATGGCCAAAGAAGTACTGTACTGTACGTGCAGAAATAGATGAGTCACTGGGATGATTTTTCGAGGGAGGGTTATTTTTATCAAATTGCAAAATCCGCGCGGGCGAACCGCGGATAACAGCTAGTTGTAAATACAATTGTTCTGGGAGGTAACGAGAGGTAAGGTGACCTACCACTCTGAGAATCAAATTCGAAAAGACCGAAAACCCCCAGGAATTTTTCGGGGGTGATCCGTCCGGATATGTCGGGCCTCGTCCCTCAACACCCGACTGTCCTATTGTGGGCCTGGCCGAACCAACAATGGGCTTGCTAAAATAAAGCCCTCTTAATGCTCACAGGGTGGAAAGAGTTTTAAAACATTTCAAAAACTTAAGAATGGTGCAATTTTACTTGTTTTGAGATATTTAAGGTTTTAATTTTAAAATTTATGCAATGGGTAATGCATGGCTTTATTTTAAAGGCAATAAGGATGATAAATTGATGCCGTGTACAAATTGTAATGTTACACTGGAATTTTCCGATAGTACTGTACAAGCGTGGCAGCCTACCGCTCTGGGGGACCTGGGTTCGAATCCGAACGGGTCGAAAAAATCCCAGGAATTTTTCGGGGGTGGTCCGTTCAGATATGTCGGGCCCGTCCCTCACCACCCGGCAGCCCCATTGTGGGCCTGGCCGAACCCATAATGGGCTTGCAAAAAGAGGCCCTCTTAGTTCCCACAGGGCGGAAAGAGTAGAAAAAAAAAGTACTGTACATCGTTATGTGGAATCACCTTAAATCCGAGCATACTTTGCTATCAATTGAATGTAAACAAAAAGCATGTAAACATAATGATATCGCAATAATGGGCGCATTGTCTGGTAAAGCGACTTTAATGAGTAAGTAATCCAATGATATAGGCCTAATAGTGAGGAAGAGCGAAATGAGGATCAAATCTTACTATTGTTAATGAATTATGATCTTTTGAGTTTTCAAATATTGTTTTTACCACTATAGTATTAATTTACGAAGGTTGTTTCGTATGTATATTTTCTAAAAAGTAGCATTTCTATAATCTTCCCCGGATTAAGAACGGAGCCGATGTTTATTAATCTACATACGCGAAGGAATATATCTTCGTGTTTATTAGGAAGTGAACATACCTCGTATATTACAAAATTATAAGATATACAGTATTTAAACTGTTGTAATTTATTTGAAATCTCCGATATTTTTTCAAGAAACTTGAGAATATAAAAAATAAAAACAAAAGACGTCACACACTACATGTGATGTTTTATTCTTCGAAGTTTTTATTCTATTTCAAAGTTTAATCCCATACTTTATATTTAAACCGTTGTTGTTAGCCGCGGCAACGAAATGGCACACATCGGTTTGATTCTTATTCTGGGTATTCAGAATAAAGTATTCGGAAGAAAAAATAAAATAAAATACTTTTAAGTGACAAGTTATTTTCTTGCAAGGAAAATTAATCTTTTCTTTTAAGACAGATAATAATTCAGGAATTGCTGGAATTTCTTTCCACTTAGAAGCCATGGATTGTTGTTCTAATCATATCACAAAGCCATGTAATTCGATTGTTTCCTGAATGTCCTTTGAATTGTTTCTTAAAAAAGGAAGAAGCACGTGAAAGAATACGAAAAGACAGATTAAATTTCGTACTAAATCTAATACTAATAACAAATAAGCGCTTCCACACGACTTCCTTTCTTCGAATCACCCCTCCGAGACGAGTCCAAAAGTTGGCAAAATGCCAGCAACAGGCGTGCCCACGCTGGCTAAAAACTACACGTATAATGCCGAAAAATCAACATTCCGAATAAAATAATGTAAAGTCGACGTTCTAAAAAGACATATTTGTTGTTATCCGAACATGGAACGTGACTATTTATGGGTGTATCGTGTGGACTGTCGGACTGACCTTGTCTCCTAGATAAATAAAAATAGTGCTTTTGCATTTCAAAGTGGTGATAATGACTCATTATAGGTGACCGTTAAGAAGAAGGAAAAATTATTTAATTATTTCTTATTGTTTTCTTTTGTATCAACATTGGGTACCCCCTCCTAGACAATTGCTATGATGGCTAGTTGTAAAACCAGTACTGTATAATATATACTGTATATAGCATAAAATTTTTCTTCTGAGGATAAATATTTTATAACCAAGATAAGATTACAGACAGACAGTTTATAATATACTGTATAGGCCACAAAGAGAGATAATTTTTGTATGAAATTATTTTTTAATAAATATAATGTGTCTAAAACAAATTTGCTATTGAAATAACAGATTTGTAATATCTTTTAATCTTTTATGTATAAAAGTCATGGTGATTAGAAATATTTGGTTCGTAAGTTACAGTGCAGACATCTTATCGTTGCTAGAATGCTTGACCTTTTGAAACCAGATATCTTTATATATACTTATTTTTTATCTGTCTTTAGCAAGTAGAAAACTAAGAAAAATGTCTAGGTAACATTTTTAAGAGTATTATAGAAAGTTTATAATATTTTATAAATTTATTGAAATTTGCATTATAAATATTTTAGAACAGGAATTATTTACGATGATCGGATGGTCCAACACCTTTGCCTTTGGGATCCGAATTATCCGGAATGCCCGGAAAGATACGCACAATCCCTCAAAAGGTGCAAAGAGTATGGGCTAATTGATAGATGTCTTCGATTACCAGTAAGTTTCGATAGATAATTGGAAAAAACCATAGAAATATATAAATATAAGTTTAATTTTTAGGCTAGAAGTGCAACAGAAGAGGAAATATTATCAATCCACAGGTAAAATAGTTAATAATAGTCTAGAATCTATCCAAACTTTTTCGGTTAATTAAATTTTAAATGTATTTTAATAGCAAAAATATATACGAAGTAGTAAAAGGGACAGAGAGCGAAAATGACGCGGAGAAATTGGAAAAATTAGCAGCGAAATATGATAGTGTCTATTTTCATCCCGTAATATAATTTTCTTATAATTCAATCTTTTAAACAGAATTTAAAAGATTAGTATATTTATATTAATTTTAAAATAATTTTGTTAATTTATTTTTAGAAAACATTTGAATCTGCCAAACTAAGTGCAGGTTGCACTATAGAATTGGTTTCAGCTATATTAGAAAATAAAGTAAGTTCTTGTCATTTATTAATGACAAATAAAACTAAACAATTTATTTTATGCAGAAAAATATCTAACTTTAATGCAAGTTTATACAATATTTAAAATTAATTTATTAATGAATAAATTTAATTTCAGGTAAAAAATGGAATGGCCATTGTTCGGTAAGTGAAACGTTGTGTTGCGGCTTAAATCACTTATTTATAGATGATAAAATTTTAAATTTGAATTAAAATGTAGTCCACCCGGTCATCATGCTATGTTTGATGAAGTCTGCGGTTACTGTTTTTTCAACAATGCTGCTTTAGCTGCTCAGCATGCATTGGAACGTTATAAATTGAAGAGGTAATTAGTAATTTTTAAAATTTAATATTGATAAGTTTAATTCATTTGATATTTTAAAATTATTTTTAGGATATTGATTGTAGATTGGGATGTTCATCATGGGCAGGCAACTCAGTATCAGTTTTATAAGGATCCTAGGTAAATGATAGATCAGTAATTAAAATAAAAATGATTATGTTGATAATAAATATTTTTCCAAAATTTTATCTCTCTAGGGTTTTATACTTCAGTATTCATCGATATGAACATGGTGCTTTCTGGCCAGAACTAAGAGAATCAAATTATGATTTTATAGGTGAAGATCAAGGAAAAGGATTCAACATAAATGTCCCTTTAAATGAGGTAAAATTTCTATTGTAATGCATAGGCTTATATCTTATCACACAAATATAGAAGACATAATCTTAAATATAATTGAGTGAATATAATAATAAATGTTAATAAGTGCATTAATAATAATGAGATATAATAAATGTAAATATTATTAATGCACTCAAAATAATTAGAAAATTTATTACAAAATTGATGGTCTTGTGTTTTTATTACACAAAACTATAATCATTAAGATATTTCAACTATTTAAGGAAAAAGATAAGAGAATTTGTTAGTTTTATCTGGCAAAAATGCTTTGAGATGACAAGAAAATTGAAAAAAATTCTATTATCACTATCTTTCTTATGTATTTTTAAAATTTAACTTAGCCTGTTTTCAAAGATTGAAGTGAAAAAAATGATAGATGACTTTTTATATAGAGAGTATCATGACATTCTTTTAATATAAGTTATTTTAACTTATGTTATTAAGATTTTCAAGCATAAAACTGAAAAAATTAAATTTAACAGAAAAAAATACAACAATTATAATTATCTATTTCATTTCATATAGTAACTTTCTAATATTTAGCATGTTTTGAACATTTTCAAAATGCTAGATTCAAAAATTTAACATTTTAATTAATATACTTTAATATAAAATAAATATATATATTATAATAATATAAAATAATATTTTATATTATTATAATATACTCAGGATGTACTGTAAATCCAATAAAACATGGCTTAATACAGTATGAAATTGCTTATAGCATAATCAAAAATTAACTTCTAATTTTACATCTAAATTTTACAAATATTTTTATTTTCAGCACCCAAAAATTTATATAGTATAAGATTATTATAGTTATTACAGCAAAATATATAAACTTGATATAGTATATTGTAAGCTTGCTTATAATGCACACCAAATTTTTGAACCGATCATTCATAATACAGTACAGTCCTGAAAACTCAGCCTAATGTGGATCAAAGGGTGGCCGAGTTTGTGAAAATGCTGGGTTATTGGGAATGGGGTTAAAAAAGAATAAGTACAAGTGTTTCCTCAGAAAATACTGTACTGTACTTGTATGTATTGTTTGCTTGAAAATACAACAGAATAAACTGCCCAAATACTCTTAAACAAAGGAAAAGTACATACTTTATGAAGGCATAGCGCCTTTACTACATGAAAATGAAAATGAATGAATACACAGTGTACAGTAATTTACCTGATAAGACAGACCTCAGAAAAATACTTTAAGAGGCATAAAGCTGTCTATAATGAAAAATAACTAGGGATTTTTTCACCCTTGCCAGGGTGTGGCTGAGTTATCGAGACTGCCAAGTTTTCGGGACTCTACTGTATATGAGATTTACAATGATTCTATATGATGATAACCGGCACTGTTGTTATTTTGGAATTTTTAATGAAGATAGCTCCTTATTCTTTCCTTCTTAAAGAAAATTATTCTTTCCTTAAATGTAGCTATAATTTTCATGTTTAAATATTTCAATTGTAATTATGAGGGCTGTTCAAAAAGTTCCCAAACTTTATTACAAAAAATACTTCACTTACTATTTGTCAGGGTCCCCTTCAAAGTAGTCTCCTCCCCAACGTATACACTTATTCCAACAGTGTTTCCACTTTTTGAAACAGTTCTGGAATGCTTTTTCTGGAATGCTCATAAGCTCCTCTATCATTTTTTTTTTCTATCTCTGGAATGGTGGCAAATCTTTTTCCTTTGAGTGTGGTTTTTAGTTTGGGGAACAGGAAAAAGTTGCATGGAGTCAGGTCAGGTGAGTAGGGTGGATGGGGAAGCATAGAGGTCTTGTTTTTGGCCAAATACTCAAGAGTTCTGAGGGACAAATGAGCCACAGGTTGTCATGGTGAAAAAAACCACTTGCTGCTCCTCCAGTTCAGGCCGTTTTCACCTGATTCTATCTCTTAGGCGTCATAACTCCCAGGTAGTACTCTGTGTTGACTGTCTGGCCTGTAGGTAGGTATTTGTGATGCACAACCCCCTTTGCTTTGAAAAAACAGTCAACATCACCTTAACATCTGAGCGAACTTGTTGAGCTTTTTTGGGGCAGGGGATGTTTCACCCACCCATGGGAAGTTTCCATAAAGGATTTCTCAAATTTCACACAGAATTTTACAGAACAACACTGTTTCTTCAAAGACCTCATTTCCACGGATCCCCACAAACACCCCTTCACATAAATGGCCGTAACTAATCACCAAAACAAGATATCAACAAACAGATTGAAAGAGGTTACTCTGGAGGTTTCCGCAGACACAACGCCTCCAAGCAGATTAAAAAATAACCAACTGGAGGTGCGCTATTCAAAAGTTCAGGAACTTTTAGAATAACCCATGTATTAAAAATCAAATTGAAAATTATTGAAATCTGATTAACATTAAATCATAAAAATGATCAGTTTGAGACATTTTTGAATAAAAAATAATAATAATAATTTATATATGATATTAAAGTTTGATACAAAATAACTATTCACGAATTATTTAAATTTTAATAAATCACAGAGTTTATAAATTTTAGAATATACAATTTTATTTATTTTTTCTTTCTTCTCTTAAATTAACAAGGCAGATTATTCAAATTATATTACTTATAACTGTAAATTACAGAAGAAATGAAAATCATATTGCTTAATGTTGATTAAAATAAATACCATATTATTTGCATTTATGAAAAAGATTTCAAATATTTTATTTATTAGACAGGACTGGGAAATGGAGACTATTTAGCTATTTTTAACAACATCCTTCTGCCCATTGCGTATGAAGTAAGTAAAAGAACTGTTGACTAGATTATTGTGACATTGTCACAATGTGGGGCTGCAATTTTTAAATGTATTTTAATTTAAAAATAAATATAACTTTTAACACTGAATCTGAAACTGCAATTACTCTTTCTTGTGATTTTTATTGCAGGAAATGCGAGATCACATTGTATATCTTAGAGGGTTGAGTGATATACTATTGATCCCAGTTTATTATAAGAATTAATTCCATACCAAATTTATTGCTCTGTATATTAAGGTAAAAATTTTGAATTGAAATGACATGACTTTCAGACCAGACTGGATGTTTGTATTTAGTTAATGAGAACTGCCAGTCTCTAGCTAAGGTTTCTGGTCTGGTCTTGATTTTCATCTATCTAACTCCATTTTTTGAGATTAATGAAGGACAGACAATGGACGACAGTGGGAATGTACAGGTCTGCAGTTTGAAAATTGCAGCCGCAATTAATTAATGAGAAATATATACGTTTACAATTATTGTACTAATTTTTAAAATATTATAAATTAGTATTCTCCAGAGTTAGTAATTGTTTCATCAGGATATGATGCAGCTGTAGGTTGTCCTGAGGTATGAACCTTGTTATATGTCTTTATTTTTATTTACATTGTATAATTATTTTATTTTTAATTGAAGGGAGAAATGGAAGTCACTCCATCTGCATATGCACACTTTATACATTTATTGAAGGGATTAGCTAATGGAAGATTGTGTGTTATACTTGAAGTAATAATTTCATTATAATTGTAATCTTTTTAAATAGATATTTAATAATTTTTACAGATAATATGAATGTTGAAAAACTGTTTTATTATATTAACTAAATTATTTTATTTAAAGGGAGGTTATTTTATTTCTTCATTGGCTGAAGGAGTTGCATTGACTTTAAGATCATTACTTGGTGATCCTTGTCCAAATTTCGGTAAAATCTTGCCTCCAAAGAAAAGGTATAAATTTTCTAAATTAAATGCAATTAATATTGAATATTTGAATCTGAAAAGAAAACATTTCTTTAATCTTTCAAGTCTTATTGAAACTATTTGTAATGTAATTGCTGTTCAAAGACCTTATTGGCGCAGCCTTCAACTTCAAGGAGCATTTCAAGAAGATAAAAGTGATGATAAATGTTTAAATAGAATAAGGTTTATAAAAGTGTTCTTAGTTTTTATATTTTATTTGTATTATAACTTTGACTAAATACATTTAATTTATATAATTTAGACATTATCCAAAAATTGAATACAGAGGAAATGAAAAGCCAGAGATATATGACACTAGAGATTTCTATAATGTTCACAGTCCTGAACGAAAAGCAGAACTTGAGCTAAGGATTCGGCAATTGATTTTGGATACAAAATTAGATGTTCCTCTTTGGAAAACTTGCATAGCTTATGATGAAGAGATGGCATGTCATCAAAATATGTTTGAAAAGTAATATTTTGGTTTAATAATTTATAAACTATTAAATCTCCTAATAAAACAGTCATTTGATTTATACATTTTTAAAAATTTTAATATAAGTAATATAATTCTTAAATCTTTATATTAATAATATTTATATGAATTATTATTTCATTGTACATTATTGATTTTTATTAGACATATAGAAATTCCAGAAAGGATTAGATTGAGTTATAAAAAGTTAAAGTCTTTAGGCTTATTTGATAAATGTCTTAGTTTGAAGGTAAGTTATAATATTAAATTTATTTCTTAAAATAACTTTTTATATTCTCTCATTTCTTATTTCAATATAAACAATTTTAGACTAAAATTTAATGTTGAAGATATGATTGGTTGATATAAAATTTAATGCCATCTATTTTTGAATGTCTGTTTATTATTTAATTAATAGTTTTTATCATATTTCAATTATAAATTATTAAACACTAAAATTGTAGCTTCTAAAATATTTGAAACAATATTATTTTTCAAATTTAAAATATTAACAAATATGCTAATTTATCTTTTAATGTCAAAAATGATTAATTTTTGAAGAGAATAATTTAATAAAAGCATGTCTTACTGGATATTTATAAATATTTAAAAATATTTTAATATTTTATTATTAAGTTGTAATTTAAAATTTTATTTTTTATGTAATTGAAAAAATATATTTCTGTGATGTACTGTGGACTAATTAAACAATAAATAGGCAAATGGGAATGACTCTTAGTTCTGAACCTTATTTATTTATTCATGAAAATAAATTAAACATTTATTATATCTGGATTCATACACATTAAAACAAATCATTTTTATGAGAAAAGAATAATTTATTTTAAATTTTATTTTTAATTTCTAAGATAACAGAGATAAATATTATAACATTTAAGTACAGTAATCCAAATATGTTTAGTAGAAGTAAATTATAGATTGAATTATCTTTTTTGTTTCACATAATGAGTCATTCTTTTAGGGAAATATTTTTTACTTCTAAAAGAACTTCACATATACACGTGTAAAAAAGTTCCTATATACATGATACCATAATGTAATATAAATAAAGTGTCATCTTTGATGCTGTGTTGTAATTAAGAAAGAACTATGATAATGATGATCAGTAATGAGGGTGACAATGAATTTGTATGCCCTAATTTGTGACTAAATTTTCCTTAAACAAATAAATAATTAAAATAAAAACATTGTTTTTATTTATTTAGGATTATACATTATAAATATCTTAGTTTTAAATATTTAAATTTGATCTATTGAAAATGTGAAATTATTCTAAATTATTGATTTATTATATTAAACAGTTGAAAATAATGATTGTCTTTCTAAGTATTTGTCTTCATTCATTACTCTTTTGACACATTTTATATGTTTTTTCCTCTTTCATTTTCTTTTCTACTTCTTCCACTTCACTTCTCTCTCCTTGTCCTCATTTGTTTCTTTCTCTCATCACTAATTTTTTTCTCTACTCTTCACTGTTGATTACACAGTTTGAGCCAAAATTTCCCTGCAAATAGTAACTACAAAGATAAAGAACATGTCATGAGAAGGCAGAAAACTAAAGACATATCTAATATCTAAACTTACAAAATTAATGGTAAATATAAAAATATATGACAGCTGACTGCCACAATTTATTGAATAAATAATATGAATAATTGAAATTTTATTCTTCCAATTTGTTACAAATAAACTAAAACAAAATGTAAATTTGAAAAAAATAAAACAGTTAGAATTTATTAAATAACATATGTAGAAGAAGTTGCGTAAGTATGAATGATTTGATATGATAATAGATATTATCAAATAATAAGGAAGTACAACTAAAAAAAATCTTAATATAGTATGGTTGCTGTTTATTCAATTTCTATGTATGACATCCTTTTAATCCAAAGTATTTGGATTAGTGAGATCGTCTACCAAGAAAAATACTTTGGATTAAAGGACGTCATACATAGAAAATAAAAAAAAATCATTAATATTTTAAGAAACACTATTTCATGTTCTACTCATCTGATTTAAATAAACAAAGTAATAAAAATAAAAATAAAATTTAAGCAATAAAAATTAAAATGAAAAACATTTGAAATGTTTACTTCTTGTCATTAATGCCATAATGCAGTGATTCTCAACCTGGGGTATGTGTACCTATGGGGGTACGCGATAAGTTGTTTAGGAGTACAGAAAGAAGTTAGTTATTATGGCAGAAAAAATAATATGTTATGTATCACAGATTAATAGTATTAAAGAATTATTAGGTAAAAAATGTTCCTTGCAATAATCACAAATTTTATTATACATTTCAAAATGCAGAAATAGAAACAAAAACTTATGCTGCCGATTGTACAATGCAACAATTGCAACATTTATTGATCTGTTGATCAATAAATGTTGCACAGTCAGTCAATGGTAGTGGGGATACCATTATGCATAATCAGTGATTATGTTATGAACTTTTGATGGTGGGGTATGTTACCATTATTATTATTATCTCTCAACAATATCCACACATGTTGTTTGAAAAAAGTATTTTTTTGATTATAAAAAGCATTTTTTATTGTTAGCAAGGAAAAGGACATAGCTAGTTTCTCCAGATTTTCTCTACAAGCGATAATTTTTTTCATTATTTATTCAGTATTTTTATTAATTTTTTATTGACAAGACTATGTCTTATTTATAAAATCGTACTGCCTGCTGTGTTACCAGCTTAGAGGTATGAAGGAGTACATGTCAGAAGTTGCAATTTGGCACAGAGTATTAGGTGCCCAAATCATGCGTGCATAAAAAAAAACAGACTTGTAGGTACTCAGGGGACCGAGAACTGAGTCAAAATAAAATTCAAAGTGCCGACACTCTCTACAAACAGGCAGTGCGAGATTTGCGCATGCATTGCTGGTTGGGAAGTTGGAAATGCCACGGGGGGTTACGCTAATGAAAAAAGGTTGAGAACTGCTGCCATAATGCAATATCAAAAAAAAATTATTTTGATACTATATTTCTAGTTAAGTATTTGCTATTATTATTTTTCATATTTTTATGATTAACTAATGAAAAATAAGTCTTGTGATAATTTTACATCTTAGAAATTAGGAAAAATAAATTTAATGAATATCAAATTTTGATTAATTTGCTTCAAATTAAAAATATATTTTTATTTGATTATTTTTTTAGTCTAGATATGCAACTGAAGAAGAGTTACTTCTTGTCCACAGGTAAATAATTATTTTCATGTGCTTTATTAATTTCGTATATAAAAAGAAATTTACTTTTCATTTTATTTTATATTTTTCTAATAAATGGTTAAAATTTTTTCATATGATTTATGCAATTTTTTTAATTGTCAGTAATGATTTAATTCAAAAAATGAAGGCTTCAGAATCAATGACATTGGAAGAACTAACTGAATTAAATAAAGAATTTTTTTCATTTGCTGTTTATATAAATAAGGTATAATAAATTTTATTTACATTACTAAAAGAAAATATTGAGATTTAATATTTATTGATACAAAACTATGGGGTAAGTATTAATTAATTTTTAATAATTGTTAACATTATAAACTTTACATATTTAAGATAAGTTATATAAGTTTGACACTTAAATTTCAACATTATGCTAAATTAAAAAAGTCACATGTTTTTCAAATAAAAAAAAGAAAAACTGGTTATTATTAGTTCTTGAAAGCCATNGTGGAAGAAGTTATGGCTGAAGGTATTCAAGAATTCTCAATGAGAAGAGCTTATTGCTGTATTGTTAGGTTGACCAAACTCAACCTAATCAATATAGCATCAAATTATGATTATTATTTTATTATATCCTCAAAATGTATTCCTTTCTGCATTGATTTGATTTTGGACAATAAGAAATACTGTCAAAAATCAATTCAGATATGGTGGAAATCAGAATATAAAGTGGATTGTTTAATTCTATAATCCAACATTTTATCAAAACTTCTCAATCAGACTTGTTGAATAAGATCATATATTGTCAAGTATTGAGAATAAATTTTCTTTGTATTGAGATCTTATTTCTTTTAATTAGACCAGGGGTCACCAAACTATGGCCTGCAAAGATTAAACTACAAAACTATGAGGTCAGTTCATTTGGCCTGCAACTGGACTGTGTCACAAATGAGCTAGAATATAATTATATATATGGAAATATCATATTGTAGATAAACTTACTATGTAGAAAAAATTAAAATAAGTGTAAGTAAAAATTTGTCCAATCTGAGTTTTGCATCTGACAGTAATATAATTTTTAGGAAAATCAGTGAAATAAAAATTTGGTGACTTTTTGTGACTTTGGATATCAGAGCGCTTTTTATGTAAGTACTCGCAATGAAGTTTTTAACAAAAGCAATTCCAACTCTGCTGCAGCGATCATGTTTTAACTTGAATTGCCATGTTTAAAACTATCTTATTGCTAATGTTGCCTTCTTTGATAACTTTTTGGTAGATAACTTTTTTGGTAAATGAATGTCTTTATTTTTTGTATATTCTGTGTATTGTATTGAACAAAATGATTATGCAGCCTGTGCTTGTCATTCTCTCAGTTATCTGACCTGCTGTGAAAAAGTTTGGTGACCCCTGAATTAGACAATTAAAACTTGTATATATAACATTTCTTATTTGCTATCTGATCTGGCAAAACAAATTTCTCATGAACTGTTTTCTTAATATCAAAGAATGTTATCAACTTGACTTTGTTATCTTCTTAATCATTATGACTGTTACAAAATCTTACAAATCACTCAAAAATCACAAATTTTTATCATTTATTTTATTAGTTTTTAAATACAGTAAAACCTTGATTTAACAAATCCCAATTTTAATAGACAAAAAGTTCTGTTCTGTTAGAAAAATCAGAAACCCTTTGTTTTTGTTGTTTGCAAATAGAGCATGCTAAAATTTTAGAACAATGAATTAATGACTATAAATTACTCAATATACATTATATTATTATTTTATTCAAACTTATACATTATAATGACATTTTAAAACATCTTGCACATTTTTAGTATATTTTTAAAACACATTTAATTTAACAGCTTTCAGCAAACTGGACATTCCTTTCTTTCAATTAGTCTATCAAATTCGGGATTACTGTAAGATTTGCTGACTGTGTGCAATTGTTGGGATGGTCATGACATTCATGTGTGGGCATGAAATACAGTCGACCCCCCTATAACACGGGTTCCTATAATTCGGATTCCTATATCACAGTGAAAAAATTGCGACAGTATTTGTACAAACATGCTAAAAAAACTGTAATTCGGTAAAATGTCATCGCCGACTCGTGTCGTGACAGGATTGGTCGAATCTAGATCAATAGTGGATATTGCACAAACCGCTGTGTTTAAACGAACAGTGGACCTACTAAAAACAATTTATTATTTAACGTCCATAAAAATTATATTTATATTAATGATGTCTCCAAAGTTCAGCGAATTTTTTGCAAAAAAAATAATTTATCAGGATGCACATGAGCACCATTCGATGACAAGCTCCACAACAAAAACAAGCTTAAGCAATGGCGTAGTCGAACGGTACACACTCGGTAAGTAATCCTACAATTTTTTGTTTATAGCATAGTTTATATGGATTATTCCCAAAAAATTATACGTATTTTGGAAATGTTGAGTCGAATTAGTCTAGAATTGATTAATTTTATGGAACAAACATTACCTTTCAAACATCCGTAGTCTGTAAACTGCATACGTGCCTGGCTGTGATTGGCTGGACTTGTAGAAAATGGATTCATAAAAACCGGAACGTATCTACTGTGTTATAGGGGGGTCGACTGTACTCAGAGATAGCCTTACCATTTTTACTTACAATTTTAAAATTTCTTGTGTCAAAATTTGTAAGAAGAGAGTAAAAAAAAAGCTCAACTGTCTCGTTGACAGTCTTCAAGATTGATGGCCCCAGGTCTTGCTGTTAAGCTTTGGAAATAATAGTTCTTGGAGAAAAGATGCCTTGGATGAGAAAAAATTCTGGGAGAATGAACATGGCTGGGAGATAGAATAACGATGAGAGAACAAGCAGTGGATTTGCAAGGAAGAACAAATTTATGGAGCAAAGAATCTCATGTCCTTAAAACACACATTTTTATAGGTTTTCTCTCCTCTATTCCACATTCTGATTGGTCTTCCTTCATCTCCTGGTGATAATTCAAAACTTCTTGGGGTGCGAGAGAGGTCTTTTTTTGACACTTAACCCAATTCCCGATAATCTAAAATTCCTTCAAACTTTGATAGTCTCCCTGTAATTCTATTGTTTTGTTTTCCATTTTGATGGAAAGAACTTGCTTTGTCTTAATTTTGAAAGGAGAGAGCTTAACTGTCCCACTGGATTTTCATCATTCACAACATATAATTTTGATTTCTATCTGGGACCTCACATTTGTACCCAACTTGTAACAAAGTTTAATGTTTACTTTTTGCTCTGTCATTAAAAACAATGACAATAATTTGCAAAATATAACATTTCTAATGCAACTGCATGTGAATAATAAATAATATGTAAATGAGTTTGTAAAGAGAAGCAATTAGATTTGTAATGTTTCCATTTGGCATTTTCTCTGACACCAGTGTGAGAATGTGTCTAATTAACCCCAGTGGAGTTTTATATGGCTTTTTAGCCTTCTTATTACTGAATGTAGGTGATTACACTTGGACATTTCTGACACCAAGTAGGTTATGCTTACTATTAGAGTTTTTGAGTGTTTTTGTAGATGACAATAATCCAGTCTCATATAAGAATCTATGTTTGTTTGGTGCAATTTTGGAAAAAAATATATAACATTATGGATGCCATAGGAAATATTGACTTTGATTGGCAAGAATTAACTGATTAATACACGAACGAAGTGTGGAAGAAGTTATGGCTGAAGGTATTCAAGAATTCTCAATGAGAAGAGCTTATTGCTGTATTGTTAGGTTGACCAAACTCAACCTAATCAATATAGCAGGACTAGGAGATATAGATGAACAGGATATTGAGGAGTTGCAGCAGGTTTCTGGTGAGAGCCTTACCGACGACGACCTTCATGAACTGGCAGAACATGGAATTCATGTTTAACTGGAAAATAGTGATTCTGAAAATGATGAACCCAAAGAATTTCTTTACAGATTTCCTTAGTAAAAGTTTGATAAGATAACCGAAATCATTGATCAAATTGTAGTGAATGATCCAGATTTTGAAAGGAGTGCAAAAGCAAAACGAGCATTTTGGATGTGATCTTCTGCTACTAACATTTGCTTAAGGAAANGCATGCATTGGAACGTTATAAATTGAAGAGGTAATTAGTAATTTTTAAAATTTAATATTGATAAGTTTAATTCATTTGATATTTTAAAATTATTTTATGCATATTAATTCTTTTTAACTCTATGTCCTTACTGTTTTACATTTCTGTGTGCATATGTTTATGTGCTATTCAACATATATTATTATACAAATTAATATAAAAATAATTTAAAATTAAAGTAAAATTTGTTTATTTTTAGTTGCATGTTCCTCTATTCTTATTTACTCTATGTTAAAATTACCTCGTTTTACGCTATTTCGCTTAACACTTTGTTGTCTAGGAACGCAGCCTCCACGTTAAGCGGGATCTTCTTGTACTTCTTTAAAAATTAATTTTCAAATTTTATATGTAATTGCAAGGCCTTACAAACAGGTCTAGCCAGAAAACTTTCTGCTGCCAAGATTACAAATATTTTTCACAGGAGAAAGTATTATCTCTAAGGTATTGTGTATAAGGTCCTCTTCAGCAACACATGTTCATATATCTCTACCTAGGGAGATTTAGAAATTATAAAAATTTTTAAAGTAATTAGGTTAGTATTGAAAGTGAAATCTTTATAAAGAAACTAGGAGACCATGACTGTAACCATGACAACAACTTTCCATTTTTGGGCTGGACCACCTTTTTCTTCCTTCCTTTGGCCCTGTGTTGTTATATAACTATTTTAACTTGTTATAAAAAACTGCAGAATTAATTTTTAATTAAAATTATATATTAATTAATTTATTATTATAATTACTGTATATTTAAAACATTAAAGCTAAAAAATTTATAAAATTTTGATTTATTTTAATTTTTAAAATTTAGGATTCTTATAAGAGTGCGAAGTTGGCAGTTGGATGCTTATTGGAAACTGTAGATTCAGTTTTATCTGGACAAGTAAGAAATTAAGTTTATTTAAATAAAGATAAGAAAAACTATGTTATATTTTAACGATAAAATATTAAATTACTTGAATTTCTATAATGAGTAAGATAAATTAATTTTAAAAGTCTGATCTAAATTATGATATTTTCATGAATTTTTGAGATAAAAATTTTATTAAAGGAATCATTTTGTTGAAAACAATTACTAGTTTCAAATTAAAAATTATATGTGCATGAAAAAAAAAAAAAAATTTATTTTAGATGCTTTTTCTATTTGAAAAAGCACCTAAAATAAATTTTTTTCTTTTAATTCAAGTTTTATGATATTGTCACTGAAGATAGTAAATGCTTTTTAAATGGATTAATGTATTATTCAAATATTTAAATAAAATTGTTTTTATGTATAGAGACACTGATTATTTAAAAAAAAAAAATTTGTATATTATTAAACAATAAACAAATATCATACAATCTTAGAAACAGAAAATGTAAATTCAAATAACAATATTTTCAAAAATTTGTCAAAAACAAGGAAAGAAAACTTCCTAAATAATTATTGAATCACTCATTAATTTACAATAGATATTTTAATCTTAAACACGTAATCTTAATACATTAAATTTCATAAAATGATACATTCCAGTTCTTCAAGTTAAATTTTAACAGAGAACTGAATAGTATTATAATGAATTGAGTAGCAAGTTATAAAAATATTTAAAAGTTTTCAATCAGAGGAAGCCATAAAGATACAATTTAGATGATATAAATATATCATTCTACTTTAATTTTTATGAATGTATATATATATATATATAGTGGCATGCCATCCTTGGAAGCAGTGGATGCATTGCTTCCCTTGTATTTTCTAAAATATAAATACATATTGTGCGATTATTTTCATATTTTAATATACTTTGAATTAATTAAAATTAATATTTTATTATTACCGCATTATGTATCTTATTACAAATTTCTATACTACATGTGAAAAAAATGATAAGATTGCTAATATATATTCGAATATCAGTGGCGGAGTGAATGAATAAATCATGACTAGATTTATAACTAACCCATCGTTAGGAGTTTACTGGTATGTTTTTATGATAGTTCTGTATAGTTGACAGGAGTTAAAAAAAAATCCATTTGATATATTTATTCTGCTCTCCTATCTGGTATTACTTACAGATTTCAATGTTAAACTAGTGATATTACGATTTAGTATGTCTCATCTATAAGGGGATGCAGAAAAAAACTTGGACGATGTTAAAAAATTAACTGTTACTTTGGCAGCATCATTTACAACTAAATTTAGTAAATAAGATGCACAAGGTACAAAAAAAGCTCTAGAATTTATTTTTCTTAAATTTACAATTTATATTTCCATTGTCATAAAAATTTGTCTTTCCACTTCTTTTTCAAGACTACAAATATTCAAATACAAAGTAACCGGTTTTGACTTATTTCTACTTAACAAGTAGTTAAATAATTAAGAGATTATGGAATTAGGGACATAAATTAAACCATGCTGAAAGAGCCAGAATTTTACTTAAACAACTTAACTGAACCAATCTCTAGCCAAGTACAGTGGGGACTGATTTCTTCGTAATATTGGATGTAATAAAGACAGAAATTTTTCCAGTTCAATGAGGGTGACTGAAAAGTTGTAAATTTTGGAAATTTCCATGGACACCTGATCCTAAAACGAATTAGTTAGAAAAGAAACGACAGACAATCTACTTAGCTGTAAAAATCTACATATGTTAAACTTAATACTATGGTGAGAAATGATTAAAATTTACAACAACCCTATCGCATCCTTTGAAGTATACTAGTGATGCAACAAAAGAGGCATTTGACATTGACCAATACCAGCACCCTCGGGATTTGGCAGTCCACGTGCATGCACCTACCAAGATCATCTGATTCCATCCATTAGCCACTTGTAGGGAATTATTTGACTAAGTGGATTGTTTTAAGATTTAAAAAGTAAAGAATAGTTTATGTGATTTTTATGTACGTTTCTTTACAAAGCTATATTTAATTATAATTTTTTTTAAAAGTATATTCATACAATTGAAGAATATTTTATACCAGTTATGTACAGTACATCCAACACATTTTATTTCACCAAGTAAGTTTTTATTATTTTATTTTTAATTGTAGCCCTTAGATCGTGGCTAGGATTCAGAATGTAATTGTGATATTAAAAATACATTTAGAGAAGTCTATGGTTTTTACTAGCTTATCGAACAAATGAATACAAATTGACCCTAGACCATCACTGACGTGCCATTAATTGATTGCCCCTGGAAGTCGGCTTCTTACAGAAACACAGCTTCCCTATCATCAAATGTCATGGCATGCCACTGATATATAAGAATTATATAATTCATAGTCAAGATATACAGTAAAAGTCACTAGTCAATATATATATATTTCCATAATTAGTATCTTGACTTGTAGACATTTGTATAAATTATTATTAGGGTATATTTTTTAATTCATTATTTGAAAGCATCTTAAAAGACATATATCTCTGAAACTTCTTAGTGAAATAGCAAATGTTCAAAACAACCTTACAAATTTATAAATTATGAGAATAAATTATAAATTAAATTTACTTTGTTCAATAATTTTTTAAAATAAATAAATTTTTAAATTATTCAGTAAAACTGAATAAAAAGAACATGTAATTTTGAGTTTTGAATTAAATCAGTAATTGAATCTTATTGTTTTTCTGTCGTGAATAGAAGAAAATTTATTAGAAACAGGAATATTCTTACAATTGTAAACAGTATTATACAATATATAATGATAAAGTAGTACAGTACTGGTGTATTAAAACTGGTGTATTAAAATTTTCATTTCAATTGATGGAGTAATTACAACACGTCAATTTGCTAATCATTTTAAATTCTGTTTGGATAATAACAATTACTTTCCAAAACTTTCAAATATTATTTTTATAATAAATGCAAAGATGAATCTAAAAATTAATAAGTTAATACTATTTTTAAAGTATTCTGTAATCTATCAGTTTGTAGTTATGATTAATCTTTTATGTATAATTTTTTGTATATATGATAATTTTTTAAGAGTTCAAATGGAATTGCTGTAATTCGACCCCCTGGTCATCATGCAGATTATTCACAACCTGCAGGTTTCTGTATTTTTAATAATGTTGCTATTGCAGCAAAATATGCATTACTTCATCATTCTCTAAACAGGTATGTATGAAGAATTTATAAATTTTTTCATTTCAAATAAATCTTTTTTTATTTTATTATTTTTATTACTTTTTTCTAAAATAAAGATAAAAATTTGTAGGATATTAATTGTAGATTGGGATGTCCATCATGGTAATGGAACACAGAATATATTTTATAATGATCCAAGGTAATGTTAGATATTCTTTTAAAAGAAATTACATTAAGCAACAGTAATAAAAATATTAAATATATGATATGACTAATCATTATAAATAATTTCATGATATTATATTCTCACAATTTTTTCAGAGTATTATTTATATCATTTCATCGTTATGAGAATGGACAATTTTATCCTTATGTGAAAAGTTCAAGTTATTTAGGAGTTGGATGTAATGAAGGTGTTGGCTATAATATTAATATATCATGGAATACTGATGAAGAAAATGTAAGTAAACATTTTTGATGGAATATTTTGAATTGCTATACCCATTCTTATAATGTTATTTTGAAAGTTATATGTGTATGAATACTTAAGGAAAATATCAATTTCCTATAAATTTTGAAATTGATAAGTTGTCACAGTTTTTAATATACATGTTAAATTTATAATGATAGATCAAAGAATCTTTTTTTCTCTCTTTTATATATATATTATATATATATATAAAGGAATAAGCATCAAAAATGTTACATGTAGCCAATCAGAGTCATAGTTTCATCTATGACACATGATCTATATTCTGTCTATCATAAAAGTCTAACATTGCATTACTATCATCCAGATGAATAATCATTTTCATCTCGCTATAAACATGAAAGTAATTAAGAAAGTATTTAATAAATATTTAACTACTATCAAAATATATGTTGAATATGACAAACTTTTAAATCAATAAGGACATTTTTCTCCATTATTTGTCTCTTACAAATAATGGAGAAAAATGCTCTGAAGATTTAGTTGAGGATTTCAAGTACTTACAGTCCTTATTGATTTAAAAGTTTGTCATAATCCACATATATTTTGATAGTAGTTACACATTTATTAAATACTTTCTTAATTACTTTCATGTTTATAGTGAGATGAAAATGATTATTCATCTGGATGATAGTAATGGTGGTACAGGTACATCTAATTTTATTACAGTGTACAGTCGACCCCCTATAACACTGTTGATAATTCCGTTTTATATGAATTCCATGTTGTACGAGTCACTTAGATTTTACAAATATGTGAGCCGTTCACAGCCCAGCACACACATTTGTAAAATCTAAGTGACTCGTACAACATGAAATTCATATAAAACAGAATTATCAACAGTGTTTTAGGTGGGTCGATGGTAGTTCTATTTTACGTTCTAAAATTTACAATTTAAATAAGTTTTTAATCTTTACATTCTATAATTTTTTCCTAAATATCTATCTGTTATATAAATAACCAATGCATTTAATTTTAAATTATTCTTTGTTTTATAAACATAAATTATGTAATGCAGATATGAATGGATGAATAGATAAATAATTTTATGATGCATTACAGAAGGTTCTGTGTTTACAAAAACGTTATGTAATTAATAAAATAGCATAACATTCAGTATTCTTTGTGCTGTGTATTATACCATAGTACAATTAAGGGAGTTGATTGAGGCTATGCATTATTTAATTTTGAGGGTAGATAAGTGACACATTAAGGAGCATTAGAGGAGGGAGGATTGGTCATTGAAAGGTATAAAAATAGCATTATGTAATTTATGGATGATTCCCTATAAAGATTCCTAAAGATCTTCATTATTATTTAACTATAACAAAAAACAAATACAATTTATATTGATACATACAATAAAAAGAATTTAATACAGACTATATCATGTATATATTATATTAGTGGTATATTGTGCCATGCACCTATGCACCTACTAAAAATTTACAGATCATAGAACTGTTTTAATAAAAGAAACTGAATATCATGAAAACTTTTCTGCTGTACTATTTTTGATGCAGTCATTATAAAAGTTTAAATATTTATCACTGTATCTGATAAGCTTGTTCATTTTAGATTCCTAGAATTATGTACCTGTTGTGTCAGTCATAATGTAGGAATTTTTTCCTCTTCATCACTGATGAAATAATATAACAACAGATTTAATGCAGTAAATAAATGAGTTAACTGTAAATATAGGTTTTTAAAGCACAGTTTATAAAAGTCCAAAATCCTGAGTGATTCATAAATTGATCTTCAGGAAACTATATTGAAAAGTAATATAAAATTTGTAAGCAGACAGTTACAATGATAGTATTATTAATAGAACTAAAATAACAAAATAAATAATCACACATTTAAACATTTAAACTCTGTATAATCAGAAATTTGTTGTATGAATTAAGACCCATTAAGTGCTTGATTTGCACTAATGATTTGATGCTCATGAGTTATTTTGCATGATCATTTGTCTGGATAAATGAGTATTTTTAGTAGAGATTGTATTTTCTTATTTTTGATTGTAGATTATACAATCTGAATAAAAATAATAATTCTTGAAAATTATTTTTGATATCTGTAACTTTTCTGTTGGAGGTAAAGTATTGTAAATAACAATTTATATGACTGTTATAGTTTACTTTTAAAAATTCATCTTTTATGACAATATTTTAAAATTTGTTTCATTTAACTATAATAGTAATTTTATGATTTATAAAATCAAAAAATGTCAGTTATCATTTGGAATGTTTTTACAAACTTCATTCATTTTCAAAAGATTTTTGTGGTTAAATAAAGTTTTATTTTTAATATTTTCAGAAAAAAATATATTTTTTTTAGAAATATTAAAAAGTTCTTGTTTCATATTATACTCAAAATTATTTTTAATTTATTTGCTTTTCAATGTATTATATTTATATTTCAGAATGGAATGAAAGATGCCGATTATCTATCGGCTTTTTTCCACATCATTATACCTGTCGCTTATGAGGTATGTCGTAAAATTTTTTTATATATTTTAATTATTAGAACAGAATTAAAATAATTATTAATTTATTTTAATTAAAAAATTATAATTTTTATTCTTAAGTTTGTGAGTTTAGTTATTCAAGCTTTGACAACTGAGAGATAAAAGAATGTTTACAAGTATTTGATACATGAAATAATTGTTCATTATTAACACCATTCCAATCAATTTATTAATTATGTTTTCAATTCAACAGTGTTTTTTTTTTAACTAAAACCTTAGAAAACTTATATTGTTAATATAAAAAGCATTTACATTTTATTTAATGTTTTTTATATATTAAAGACATGGATTTGTCTTTGAAATCTGAATGAATAGTATGAATAATTTAAAATATGTTTTTATAATTTTCAGTACATAAAATTTAAAATATTATAATATAGTTATTTTTATAGAATGAAATGAAATATAAGAAGGAAATTAAACTTTTATCATTTTTATTTTTCAGTTTAATCCTGAATTGATATTGGTTTCTGCTGGCTTTGATTCAGCTGAAGGAGATCCATTAGTGAGTAATATAACTTTAAACATAAATACACAAATGATCAAACCAGAAGTTCACTTGCAAGAAGTAGACTTGATGATGACATAGTTGCCAGGTTGACTAAATACTTTTGTTGCCAATAGTGGGTCATGAAAATAGTCAAAAATTGTCCAACAGGGCCAATTATAATCTATATGCTCTATACTGATGTCATTGCTTGACATATGTTACATAGTCCTCAAAAATAGGCTAAAAAATTATTTAAAAAATTAGTTCATCTGATATGCAAAAATATATGCTCATAAATGTAGTTTCAAGAATTTGTAGAATCTAGAATGTAATTTATTTTGGAATTTATTTTTATGTTTTGTAGAATAAAATTAAATTCAATAGTAAAAATTTATTGTTTAGGATTCTTCAAAAAATTTTAAATTGTACTCTATTTTAAATTGGTAGATATTTCTGTCCATAATCAGCCTGCAAGGCTAATTTAACCTTGCTCTCTCATATCTCTAAATATTTCCTATTTTTAATTTGTTAGTCAGCTGCATGACAAATTAACAAGTTTCTTCAAATAAATTATATTACATGAAATGTTAATCAGTTCTGTCACATGACTTTTTTTATTTAGAGACCCTAATGTCTTGAAATTTAAATATACATATATATATATATANATTTAAATTTATATTATATATGTTTATTTATTTCATAAGAGTGTAGAATCTTTAGCTTATTTTCAGAAAGTGCCAAATAAGGTTAGATGATTTAATACATTTATGATTGGAGAAGATCAAGATAATGCTCATAATATGGAAAATTTATTCTATTATATTTTTACCTTTACTTTCTAAATATTTCATTAATGTATTTAAACCTGAATATAAGCTGAATTTTTCTTTTTATTTTATATGAGTAAATTAGAAAATTCATTTAGTGAAAATAAGATTTTTTACTTCTGACATTGTACTATAATACAATTAATTACTAATTATAATTCATTATTGTAACATAAAGGTCTATGTATATATTTCAGGGTGGTTGTGAAATTTCACCAGAATGTTATGGACATATGGTTCACCTTCTAAAAACACTTGCTGAAGGGAAACTAATTGTAGCTTTAGAGGTATGCATAATGTATAATTTAATTTATTGAAATTAACTTTCAATAACCAAAATAAATTATTAAAATAAAATGACAGTAAGGAAGTATAGTTTTTTATTTAGAAGTTTGAATTTTACAATATTTTTATGGTTGAAACATTATAATCAATCCTCATTGGACAGTTATTTCATATTTTTTTTATCTATTCACATATATTTAATTATGACAAAACATTTGTTAAAACTTACTGTGAAAAAAATGAGATATTTTAATTTTGATTATATACATAGGCAAATTAGTAGCAAATGTTAGGAGGAAGTTTAATTCATGTAATAAAATAAAACTTTTATTTCTTTGATAAATACTTATAATTACAGGTTCTACTGTTACTTCAATTTTAATTTATTTATTTAACTTTAATATAAGAATGAGTGATGAAAAAGCAAGCAATAAAAAGAGTTTTTCTATTTAATGAAATGTTTGTGTGTGGGTTAGAAAATCAAAAATATGTTAGCTGATTGAAAATATGAAAGACCAGAATAATGTGAAACTGGTCTATGTACAAACCATAAAATCTTATTTAAAATATCAGAAATGGAGGAAACACATAACAGTGCTATAAATTTGGTAAATGAAGAAAATGAGACAGAATTTAACACCACCAAATCTGGTGATGAAAAGGAGGGAAACCAAACCAATATCTTGAGAAGTGAACAATATAAACAACAGCCTATTTATCATGACTACAAATTAATTAATTATGAATTTCTGAATTATGTAGCTTTTAAATTAAAGTCAGTGGCAATTTTTAAATAGCATTTCTTAACTGCTAAATTTACTTGACTTAGAAATGGGTGGATTTTCTTGTTTTATTGTATTATTACCTTATTTTTTTATATTCTGTAGTTTTGTAAAATAAGTCAGTTTTTCTCTCCCCTAACAACTCCAGCAAAGCAGATTTTCGGGTTGCAATTTGAAAAAAATTGTAGACCTATAAATTCTCAATGTTGTCTGTCCGTTCATCTTTCCTTAATCTTGAGAATGGAGTTAAATATATGAAACATGATTCTAGATATGGAAACCTTGGGCTGGAGGCCCTGGTTAACTATATAAGAACTTCTGATGCAAACTGGAAATCACGTTATTTCAATTAAAAAATTTTTCCTGAAAAGTATTAGATAGATGACCAGCATGACTCTATTGTTAAAAGAAAAGTATGATGTACAGGGGCAAGTCACTACTAATTTGAGGTGGAGAGCAAATATTTTAAATTAAATAAATTGATGACCATATGGCTGAACAGTCAAGGTGGCAGCTACCGTTCTGCGGAACTTGGGATCAAATCTGGATGGGTTGAACAATCCTCAGGAAATTTTTGGGAAATGGTCTGTTTGGATAAGTTTGGCCCCATCCCTCATCACCTAGCCACCCTATTGTGGGCCTAGCCAAAACCATAATGGGCTTGCTAAAAAAGGCTCTCTTAGTGCCTACAGGGCAGAGTTAAAAAAAATTAATTAAATTAAAAATATCAGTAAAAATTGCAGCCTGGCATTGTGACAATGTCACAGTAATTATTTACTTGTTGGAAATAGTCTTTAACAACTTTAAAAAAGTTTAAAAAGAAATATCAAAATTGGTTCAGGATCAGTAAACGAGTTAGTAGTATCCTACTTGAGCAGTAAATCAGCCCTTAAATTGCTAGCAATTGCCTAATATCATGATACCTACAAAAGAAAAACTATTGTGGGTAGCCAGTTCAGAGATTGCAAACAGTATTCTCAAACAAGTGCTGAAGTGAATTAATAAGAGCAAATGTCTTCAAGACTGTCTGTCTTAAGCAGACTGACCATCATAAACAATGTAGATAGTCTAAACAGACTAAATTAAAACTTTGTTGGTATTAGTTCTCTTTCAAAAGTCAATATTGTATCATTAATATCAAAATTTTTTTACAATACAATAAAGGAAAATAAAAATGTATATATTTAAAACAAAATATAAATGTTTATGAGTAAAAGTCTTCTTCTTCTAATAGTGAGACTAGTGATCTTTATCACTTCTTTCTTAATTAATTATCTGCAATAAACAGCGACGAAGATTAAAACAATTCACTTTACTCACCTATTTAACAATGCATTTTGGATTGGTATTATCTACTCCTTCAGGTTCACAGCTCCAATCCAAAATGCATTGTTAAATAGGTGAATAAAGTGAATTGTTTTAATCTTCATCACTGTTTATTGCAGATAATTAAAAAAGACGTGATAAAGATCATTAGTCTCACTATTAGAAGAAACTTTTACTCATTGTTATATCATTGTTCCATTTTAATAATTTTATTAAACAATTTACAAATAAATATTTATACTATGCAATGTGATATGAAATGTAATGCAAATGCAATAAAAATAAACATTTTTTTTGTAAAAAACTAAAAAAATGTTTATTTTTATTCTAAATAAGAAATTTTCATAAAATTTTATAATTCAGTTTTCTTTATAACAAAACTTCATATATTTAGCAAAAAAAATTTGTTTATTCTTCACAATTCTTCAATTTATTATTGATTTTTCTAACATCATCATCAAAGTTTAAAAAAATTAATATAGTTTCTAATATTTATAAAGTATATTTAACATGTTTAGTAATTCAATAAATGAGGAACTAAAATGTAAAGTATGTAAAGTCTACCTTTGCACAAGCTGATTGGGTTGATGAAATCGTGGTAATAATACTATTATCACTTGAAGCATTAGGTTCTAAAATAAAAAATAGAAATTTTATTTTGTAATAAAAAATAACTTAACTTTAATATACATAATATAAGAAATTCATAAAATTCATTATTATATAAAATATTTCTAATATTGAAAATTATAATAAGCAGAAAAACATTCAATCATTTTCAAGTATTACATAGTTATTAAGAATTCTAAATCAAACATAGTTATTTAAAATTTATAACTATATTAAATTTAGAATTCTTGGTTCCTGATAATGAGTATGTAGTATTCAAAACCTCTTGAACCTTTACATATTACATTTAATTCACAAATATTTCAACAGCTTTCTTACAATTAGAGATTTTGAANGTATAGGTCTTCTCTCTGTATTATATATTTGATTTAAAACCCAGATTTATTAATTATAGGGAATAATATTACAAGCTAAAATAGATAACTTTAGTGTTTTAATAAAAGTTATCTTGTGATTTTATTTAACAGATATTAAGGCATTTATTCAAAAAGTACATTCAAGTATATTGTATATACTTTTACTTTCTTCAAATACATTTGAATACCTGAAGAAACAAGTAATCAAACAAAAAATATTTACTGTAATTTCTTTATTAAACCCAATGAGTTTATCTTTAAAAATATGCATTACCTTGAGTTTAGTTGAAGTCCCAGGGCTTGCAATAGAATACGAGAGATAAAATCTGAAAGATATCTTTTATTTTACATTTTTGGAACTATTATTATAACGTTTATTGGTTGTATTTATTGGTTAAAGACACAACATTTTGAAATAATTACTGTTTTCATAGTTAACCTGTCTCAATGTTTTTCAAGTTGATTGTTGCATTGTCATTCATGTCTGTTTTGATGTCATTTTCAAAATCAGGATCTTGAATACCATCTTCTGATTCAAATTCACCATCTCCAATTTGAGTTTTCTTAATTACTCTTAAGCTGATAAGCTCTTGATTTATGAACTCAATCATGCCTTTCCCACATTCAATATTTAACAATATTTATAATTTTATTTACATAAATATTCCTGTGAATCCTGGAATAGAAAGGTTTCTACATTAGTTAAGATCAATAGAATATTTCTGATATTCTAATATATATCTTAAGCATTATTCAGGAAGTAAGCATATAAAAATTTGTAGAATGTTTATCCTCATGCAATAAATTAATAGTGATTTGAAAGTAAATTTGATTTTTGACGATATGAAACTGTGCTTTGCTATTTGTTTATGCTTCTGACACAATATAGTGCTATAAATTAAGACACTTGGCGGATTTTCTCATCTTTATTTAGTTGAATGCGCTGTTCCGGTGTAGTTCTACTTTCATCTTCTCTAAATTTGATGATCTCCGTTGTTTCAATTATAACTTCTTATTTTGACTCTTAATAACTTCTTAAATTAAGACTCTTAATTTATAGCACTATATTGTGTCAGAAGCATAAACAAATAGCAAAGCACGGTTTCATATCGTCAAAATAAGAAGTTATAATTGAAACGGCGGAAATCATCAAATTTAGAGAAGATGAAAGTAGAACTACACCGGAACAGCGCATTCAACTAAATAAAGATGAGAAAATCCGCCAAGTGTCTTAATTTATAGCACTATATTGTGTCAGAAACATAAGTAAATTTGATGTTATAGAACAAAACTTCATTATCTATTTTTCAAGTATTATTTAAGTAGATGTTAATTTATATCTAACTCATAAGTAATAAAAACTGGCTTTAAAATAATGACAGATTGCTATTTTCATAAACAGAATTAAGAAATAACTTTGAACTAAGAAAAAAATTTGTTCATGTGACATATCTCTCACATATTTATTCTATTTTACATTATTTTTTCAAGATCAGTTAATTTTATTTCTTAATTCTGATATGAAAATAGTTCAATAAAATAACATGAAAAATTATTTATTTTTAAGTATATTTATTAGATCATTATAATGCAAATATCTGAAATATTGAAAATCTGATTACAGAATTTGCTTAATGCAGTTTTGCTTAACACAGGATTTGATTAATGCACAATTGCAGCCGTTATCTTT